CTTTGGACTATTTTAAAAAGCACGCGTACAGCTAAACACTTAGAAAACAGCCTGTGATAAACCCCTCTAGGGATGTCCTTGACTCTGGGCCCTGAGGTCCCCTCTCCACCCACCTGCCTCTGGGTCCTGGGCTTTGTGTCTGCCCACCCTCTCAACAAGGCTGGCCTAGGCAGGCTCTCGGGAGGCTGTGGGAGCTCGGGAACGCATCTGTCTTGCAGCAGATTAGAAAGATATCTTTTTGCCGACAGTGCCATTTATCACGGCAGCTGCAAAAATTAGCGATGCTTGTGCTGTCAGTGTTGGGTGGGGGTGGGAGCTGGCAGGTGAGAGCAACCAATGCTCCCACGTTACCAGGTCAGGGAACTGCAGGCCAACCTCTGAATAGGGCTTCTTTGACTTAACACCTAGCCCAGGTGCAAGCCTCCATTGGAAAGATGAGGAGGCTGAGGCCCAGAGCCTGGAAATAATTGTGGCCACATGACAATTTTTTTTTGAGGCAGGATTTTTGCTTTGTCACCCACGCTGGTGTGCAGTGGCACAATCTTGGCTCAGTGCAGTAGCTGGGACTACAGGCACATGCCATCAAGCCTGGTTAATTTCTAAATTTTTTGTAGAAATGTCTTGCTATGTTGCCCTGGCTGGTCTCGAACTCATGGCCTCAAGTGATCCTCCTATCCTGGTCTCCCAAAGTGGGATTACAAGATTGAACCACCGTGCCCAGCCCGTGTGACAAATTAATGGCCCATCTCTAAATACAGGTTTAGGTTCTGTGTGTGACCAGGACCAGGCTCAGTGGGTGACCAGGGTCAGAGCTTGTCTGGGGTGAGATGCTTTACTTCTTTTTTTTCTGAGATAGAGTCTCACTCTGTCACCAGGCTGAAGTGCAGTGGTGCGACCTCAGTTCACTGCAACCTCCCAGGTTCAAGTGATTCCCCAGCCTCAGCTTTCTGAGTAGCTGGGACTACAGGCATGGGCCACCATGCCCAGCTAATTTTTGTATTTTTAGTAGAGATGGGGTTTCACCGTGTTGGCCAAGATGGTCTCGATCTCTTGATCTTGTGATCCACCTGACTCGGCCTCCCACAGTGCTGGGATTACAGGCGTGAGCCACTGCACCCAGCCAGTCCTTTACTTCTATTAGGACTAAACCCTATTTTTGCCTTTATGGCTCAGCCTAGGACAGACCTTCAGCCTGGCCCCAGCTGCCACCAGACAGGGGCAGGATTGAAACTGAGCCACAAAGCTGAGACTCACTCTTGGGGTAGGTTTATGGTACCAAGGGAAGGGGAGAAAGAGGATGGAGGGTTCAGAAGAAACATTTGGGGGAATGAAGATGTTCAGATGAAGATGGCCCCACCAACAAAGCGATGCCAATTCCAGGGAAGATGAACGGGGGGCCTCCCTTGTGCCTTGGCCTGCAGAGGCACAATGACAGGGTCATTAGCTTGGGCTCCACCTTTGGATGATGTGGTCCCATCGCTTGGCCTTGCCTTGCTCTGGTAGCGCCCTTGGAGGGGTGACCTGCAAAAGGTCAGGAGAGGCCTCTCAGATCTGGCTGAGTGCTGAGTGCTGACGCCAGGGGTCCTAGCTTGACCGTGCAGGAAGCCCTGGTTTGATCCTTGCAGGACTTGAATCTGTATCTTCAGGTCGTTAGGCCCCGGAGCTGGCACCGGATCACACACAAAGCCCCCATCCATCCATCCATCTATCCATTCACTCAACAAACGTTTGCCAAGCTCCTGCCCTGTGCCAGACCCTGGCTGGGCCCCGGGGTACGGAGAATCGGTCTTTACCTAGAGCCCTGGTCTCCAGGAGGTCGGAGGCTGTGTGAGCGAGAGGGTGGGAATTCGCCCTCTCCTGCCACGAGCGGTATGGAGGCTGGATGAGGCTTGGGACCTGGCAGCAGGTCCACATCTCCCTGAGCCCTGGGGGTCCAGGCCGCACAGCCCTGCTCACCGGCGAAGGGTCGCCCGCCCCCCGCCCCCCCCCCGCGTTCCTCCGCTCCCGCTTCCTCTCCCGCCCACGTGCCCCCCGCCGGGTTCTCTCCCCCAGCCCCTCCCCCACGCCCGCCCCGCTTTCCTTTCTCTCGCTCTCTGGGTCCCTGAGTCCCTGTGACCTGCTTATTTTCTAGAATAAAGGTCGACCTTTTCAATTACCCCCAAAATAACAGAGCGGTTCTCGGGGCCTGGCGGAGGAGGGCGTGCAGGCGCGGGTTCGCGTGCGGGGCCTGCGGGGTCGGGGGGCGGGTGCGGGGACAGGGGGCGCCCACGGTCCCTCTGGCCTTTGCTTTTTCTCATCTGGAGCCTTAGTGTTTTCCTGGAAGATTGGAAGCACGTTTCCCTTCAGGGGAGGAAGGGAGACAGAAATAAACACCGTCCTCGTTGTCTTGTGAACAGGGCAGGAGGGAGGGACGCCAGGGAGCGGCGGGACCCAGAAAGGGGCCTGCGGGCTGGGGTGCGGTCAGACGGCATGCGGGGCTCGGAGCAGGAGCCCCTCCAGGCCGGGGGCGGCCGGGAGGGGAGGAGGGCGGGGCTGACCGGGGCTGCTGCGGGCCGGGGTCTGAGGACAGGCAGCGTGTGCCCATCGCCAGGAAGGCGCTTTTCTCCGTGTCCCGCCCTGCGCCAGGCTCTGGGGGCGCTGAGGTGAGTGACAGACGTGTCTCCACTCTCATGGGGCATAAACTCTGCCGGAAACAAAGCGGTGGCTTCTATGATCAGCAGTCGTATCCACTGAGGTTCAGAGAGGGTGGGTGACCTGCCCGAGGACACACAGCGGGAGGTGAGGGGACCGGGATCCCAGCCAGGTCCGTGTGACCGCCGTCTCCTTTCACACCGCCTCCGCCGGGCACACTTGGCTCCCGCGGGGCCTTGAGCAAGTGCTCCCCTCTCTGGGCCCTCAGTTTCCCCATCTGACTGGCGCCCTGCAGGGCTGCGGGGAGCATCGCCTGTCTGGATGTGAAGGACGCTCAGCTCTGGCTCTCGGGCGAGCTGGCTGGCGGTGGGGGAGCAGAGACTACCGGGTGCTGGGGAGGGACTGGCCGCGGGGAAAGGAGGCCGGACTGCAGCTTCACTCCCTGCTGCCGCACCGTGGCAATAACTGGGTTCTGCCGAGGGTGGGTCTGCACCGCCTTCTTCCGCTTGCACAAGCCCCTGAGCAGAAGGGCGCCTCAAGGGAGTGTTGTCTGGTCCTCCCTGGCCCCATTTTTCGGGTGCCCAGAGAAGGGAGGGACGACTCCTCAGGCCATCCAGGGCAGAAGCTTGGGCTGGGCTGGGATTGGCTTTCAGGCTAGGGTGCTCCCTTCCAGCCCTCCAGTACTCAAGAAGCCCCCAGTCAGCTTCAGAGCAAGAGACAGAGTTCTGCATCCTCTGCTTGATGTCACGGCCTCCAGGGAGGCTTCCAGGGTCTCCTCCAGTAGGAAGTGGTCTCACTGCTGCCCTGCAGTCCCACACTGGAACTCTTCTTGCTCCTGCCCCCACCAACCTTGACTGTCCTTCTGCCCACAGCAAATCAGGCCCAGGACCCCCTGAGGCACAGGGGATGGTGGAGAACCAACGTCACCACTCAGGGAGCATGTGCCAGGGGCCCACTCTGTGCTGTGGCTCTACCTGCATCCTCTCACTTGAACCTCATAAGAACCTCAGCAAATTGGGATATTTTTATCCCCATTTTTCAGGTGAGGAAAGGGGCACAGAGAGGTTATAACTTTCAGAGGGTGGACAAGGATTCAAACCCAGGTCCGTCTGTACTCTGGAGAGGCGCCGGCATCTGGAGGTGAAAACTACCCCCATGGCCATATGACAGTCCAGTGTGACCGGACACTGAAATAACCAGTCCAGGGGGCCTATGGGCTGGGGTATCAGCTTCACTGCTGTGCTGGTGGGTGATTCAGGCCAGGCCCATCCCTCTTTGGACCCTGGTTCCTCATCAGAGTAGTGTGTGTGTGTGTGTGTGTGTGTGTGTGTGTGTGTGTGTTCTGGGCTACCTCAGAGGTCCATTCTGACTTTGAGTGTGGTTACGTCTCGTCTTAGGCAGGTCCAAGGGAGGGCACAAGCGATCAGCTCTGGGACAGGTATGGGGCTGGCCGTAGGGCCTGGATGCTTCTCCCTCCGCTGCCTGCCGTAGAGGGGAGTTTGTCTTGCAGGAAACAGCCTCATCCATTGGGGCAATGGGGCACTCCCTGACAGCCCAGGCTGGAGGCAGACTCATATATCCCACTCCAGGCCGGGCTGTAAATTCCTGTGATTCATATCTGGCCTCTTGGAGGACAGAGACATTTGGGGCTGTGGGGTTGGCCGTTCTGTCCCAGGCAGGCAGGTGGGTACCGGGGAGAAGCCTATTCACGGGCCCAGCAGTCTCAGCTGGCCCCTCAAGGAGATGCAGTGCTGAGCTCCCAGGATGCCTCAGGCCCAGCCCAGGCCACCTCTGCCTGGGCCGCTCCTGTGTCCTGGCCCGAATCACCCTGGGGGCCACATGCGTGGACCTGTTCTGTGGCCTCAGAGATCTCGTGGGACCTGTGGCCTGAAGGATCAGCTCCACGAACCCCACAGCAAGGTCTTCTGCCGATCCACACCGCTGTCTGTCTTGGGACTGTGAGGACACCATGGGAAGTCAGGGCCCTGTCTGTGCATTTCTCATTCCAGAGAGGGAGGGCCCCCAATTCACTGTCCCTTAGGCAGAAAGGGGATGGGGACACTCAAGCTGGGGCTGCAGACATTTGTCGACTTTCATCTGGACTTTTGCCACCCTCAGATGCCACCTGAATTCTTCTTTACATAGAATTTTTAAAAATCAGCTTACTTTTATAATTTCAATGTGTGTTTTAGCCTCATCTTTAGGAATATCTGTGAAATTAGCATCTGATGTACTAGTCAGATACCTGCACACATACGCATGTGCACACGTACATACAGACTCACACCCATGCACACACAGACACCTGTATATGAAAATACACACGTAAAATACATACTGAAAGTAAACACAAAATAGCAAACGCTCAGCTCCGTGCACCATCTACTCCTGTTTGAGGTTTAGAGTGGCTCCAGCCTCCCCCCATCATGGTGAAACAAACCGGGCTCAGATGGCTCACAGAGCTGAGAGTTTACTAGCCATTCTAGCTTCCCCATTTTACAGACAAGGAAACCAAGTCCAGAGAGGTGTAGGGCCTGCCCAAGGTGGCACAGCACTGGGATTCGTAGCCAGTCATCTGACTCCCAGTTGAGTGCTCCTTTTAAGGAAGCGCGCTCCCTGCGGTGTGCAGACCTCCTTCCTCCAGAAGCACACGTGGACTCAGAGGGCTTTTGGAGACTGCACGCTAACACAGAGGGTTCACTGCAAGGCGGGCTTCCTGGTGGCAGGCTGACGGGTAGGCAGGCGGTCTCCTGGGTCCTGGTGGCACCAGGCATTGGCCGCCAGCTCTGTCTGTGCTTTACCCTGGTGCTCTTGGTTCCTGCAGTGCCTCAGGATTGGGGGAAGTGGGGTAAGGTGGGGGTCCCGGGGAGGGAGAGAGCAGGGCTCTGGCAGCAGCCCTTCGCCAGGAAACTGGTTACTGAAGAAATCATTAGTGGCACCAGCTCTCAGGCTAGCAAGGAAGGTGGCCTCATTAGTAAGTGCCTTCCCCTGTGTCACCTCCACCTTCCCACCTGCAGGCTCCTGCCACCCACACTGCCACTGCCACCACTGCCATCACCCCAGGGTTGTGGTGCAATAGGCCTTCTGTTGGGGACAAGGCTGCCAGCTCAAGGGAGCCAGGAAGGAGATGTGTGTAGGGTGTGGCAGGGGTGCATGTGCACGCACACACAGACACACATGCACAGACACAGACACACACACACAGACACGCACACACAGACACAGACACACACAGAGACACACACACACAGACACACACACAGACACACATGCACACAGAGACACACACGCACACACAGACATGCATGCACACAGAGACACACACACACACAGACACACACAGACACACATGCACACACAGACATGCGCACACACAGACGCACAGACACACGGACACAGGCAAACACGCACACACACAAACACGTACACAGGCACACACGTACACAGGCAAACACACACACATACACAGACACACAGACACACACAAACACGTACACAGACATACGCACACACAAATGCACCCACACACAGACAGACACATGCACACACTCCCTCACACACAGAGACACACAGACATACATGTATACACACGTACACACAGACACGCACACATATGCACAGACACACATACACACACATGCAGACCACACAGAAACACGTGCACACACACACACACATGCCAGACACACACACGCACACACACATGCGCAGATACACACACACACGCATACACACACGCAGACACACATACACACACCCACATGCAGACACACACACACACACAGACACCGGCACACAGATATGCTTATACGCATGTACAGGCATACTGCATTAATAGAGGAATGCACATAGATCTAGCGAGCACACACACACACACACACACCCCACAGGGACTTGCACAGTAACATGCATAACTTCCCAGACACACTGTGCAAGCACACAGATCCAACAGAGATGTGTACACACAGGGGTGGGTTTCCAAGTGAAGCCCTTCAGTGCACACGTATAGAGACCCATATGGAACACGGGCACATGTGCATCCCAGGAGATGCACGCATGTGTTCTCGCAAACACACAGTCCTGTCTCCAGACCCGGCATGTGCGTGGAATTGTACAACACAGGTATGTATCGACAAACCTGCAGACCAGCCTGGGGTGTACCACTGTACAGGGACACCCAGGTGGACATGTACATTCACATGGAGCACACACGAGTTATTTTTTCTTGGAATCTAACAAGGCCCAAAGAGCTGGAGTGGCTAATTCCCTGGAGGAAGTGAGGAGACCAGAACCAAGGGCACATTTAATTAATTCTTATCATTCCCTGCAGAGGGAGAAAGAGAGGAAAGGAGGGAGAGAGGAGTGAAATAAGAGGGCAGAGAGAGGAGAGGGGAGCGGGCAGCAGGAGGGTGAAGGGGAAGTGGGCAGCGAGGAGGCTGAGGGACCCCGGGCCCAGGGGCATTAACCTTTCCAGCTCAGGGCAGGCCCAGGCTCCTCCTCACTCAGCGCCAATCCCAGAAAGAGCCGGGCCCTTCGAGGTCAAGTGGTGGTGCTGGCCCTGAAGCTGACCCACAGTGCCCCCTCCGCACGGCTCTGGGGAAGGGGCACACCCGACTTTCACCTGCTCCCACTGAGTGGAAACGTTTGCCCCCCAACCCCGAGCCTCCTACCCTCATTCCCACTTCTGCTCTGTGCGTTCATTGGCTTAGGGCTGTGGGGGCTCTCCTATCACAGGTCCAGGCGGGGGTTGGGGGAGACGATGTCCAGGGAGGCCCCTGCTGGGCACCAGGACAGCTCCTCCCACCCCTGCCCTGACCTCAGCCTTGGACAGCGGCTCTGAGGGAGAGGGAGGGTGTGAGCCAGGAGAGAGGGGAGGTGGGCGGGGTGGGAGTGAGACAGGGAGATGGGGGGCAGTGAGAAAGTTGTGGAGACACTAAGCAAGAGATGGAGAAAGATGTGAGAGGGCCCGGGATGGTTGAAAGTCAGACCTGGAGACACACGGAGAGGACGTGAGAGAGAACCAGAGAAACAAAGAAAGGCCAGAGAACCCTGGCCTAGAGAGGATGCTGTGTGACCCTGCCCGGGCACCCAGCCTCTCTTAGCCTTGTCTGCTGGTCTGTAAAGCATGGGGACCGACCCTGCCTGCCTCCAAGAGGGCCCTAGGCTCCAGTGGGAGGCTGGCCTGGTCCGTTTCTTCCCTCTACTCCCCCCGAGTCATGGAGGCCTGCAGATGGGGGTGGGGACTCCCTTCCAGGGCCCAGGCCCCACTCGGAAGCCCCTGAGTGGCAAAGCAGGTGGAAGAGGAAAGTCCCTGTGGGGCGGTGTCATGTGACGCAGCCGTGAGCAGGAGTGATGGAGCGTCTGCCCTGAATATTGAAAATGCATAAATATCCATTTTCAGGCACGAAGGCGGATATAGATACAGAGGGGAGGGTGTGCAGCCCTCAGCTGTAATTTACGAGCTCTGCTACTTTCAGGGGCATGGGCATGTGCATGTGGCTGGCAGGAGGCTTTTCCAGATGGCTTTATGACTGCCAGGGGCCACCCGGATCCCTTCTCCTGGAGAAGTGGCTCCTTGGCTGGCTGAGGTGAGGTGGGACAAGGCAGGGGGCTGCCGTTCCCGCCTTCTCTTCCTCCAGCATCTCCTCACTTGGGAGGGACGGAACCACAACTTGGGAGGGAAATTGAGTTGGTTCTGGCCAGGCCAGAGGTTCTGCATGTCCCAGCCTTGGCCACTCAGGCCTGGTGTGTACCCAGCCCTGGTGCACTTGGATAAAATCAGAGGCACTCCAGTCCTGCCCATGGGTGCTTCTAGACTGTGAACAGTGATGGCACCCTAGGTCCTGCCTTTGGGAACTCATCCAAGGGAACCTGACGGTGGAAGGGTCTGGATAAGTCAGCATGGGACAAGACCCGTGTCCTCTCTGGAGCATGCCAGAGGCCAGAGGCCAGAGGCCAGAGGCCAGAAAGTACAGACACCTGGTCAGTGGTGGCCTCCAAGAGTCCAGCCACAGCCCAGCACACCCAAAGCCCTTAGCCTGAAGGGGAAGCAGAGGACTGGGGGTGTTCACGGCCCGCTGGCAAGCAGTTCTCTGCATACCCCAGAGAGGACATGGCCTTGCCGCATGCTGGCTTATCCAGACCCTTCCACCATCTGAGGCATGTGCCCATTCTCCAGGGGTAGACAAATGGAGGCCCCAAGGCAACTCCCTGCCTGTCCTCCCAGAGCTGTAGCTCGGACTGGAGCACCCTGATTCCTGCCACCTTCACATGCTGAGGGGCATCTTTCTCTTTGGGTTGGGACCCCGTGTTCAGGGCACCCACCTTCCCACGGCAGAAAGCAACCAGCCTCTACTGGGGGGTGTGGAGCGTTCTCCTCCCTGGGGCCCTTCCCTGAGCTCCTCTTCCCAGGGAAGTGAGGCTGGGCTTCCCACCCTGAGCAGGAGCCTGCATAGGGAGGCAGGGGTGGGCAGGGGTGGGCAGCCACCTGCTGCGCGGGCCAAGCAGTGGGACCTGTTTGTGTGAAATGCAGGCATTGAATCGTGGGCACGCCAGCCCAAGTGGCCCAGGGCCCCACACAGGGCCGGAGGTAGGGTCAAATGTCACTGAGGGTCGGGGGCTCCATGGAGGAGGGCTAAGGCTGGGGGAGGCAGCAGAACCGAGCCTCTTATTTCTTGCCTGCCTCTCATTTTCTCCCCCCCCCATCAACAGGGGTTCTTCGAGGCGGTGTCCCCGCAGTGAGTGATGCTGGCCCGGGCCCTGCCCTCCAGGCCTGCTCTGCCGGAAACACCCACAGGTCACGGCCTCCAGGTGCCTGGATGGGCAGCCCCGGGCCAAGCACCCAGGAGGGGAGAGGGGCTGCAGCCGCGCCAGGCTCCCCTGTCTGTCCTAGGTCTTGCGTCGGGTGAGGGGGCACAGGCAGCAGTGGATCCCTGGGTCTCCCCTGGGTGGCTCTGCTGTGGCTCTGGGCCCCACGCTGGCCTGGGTGGGGCACATTCTCCACGCCCCCTTGCCAGCTGCTCCTGGCTCCGTTCCTCCAAGCGGGGCGCTGGCAGGCTCCGGAGCCCGCTGGACGGCGTCCCTGGCGCTCCAGCCGAGGCTCAGCGGCGGTTCAGGGGCGCGGCAGTGAGTGCAGGCCATGGGCTCCACTCGGGCATCTCTGGATCTGCCCCCTCCTCCCGGCCCTGCCCCACCACCTCGGCAGCCCGGCAGTCCTGGAGCTCCCGGGACGGTCCTCGGAACCGCTCCAGGCTGGGCGCAGGGGCTCGCGCCTGTAATCCCAGCACTTTGGGAGGCCGAAGTGGGCGGATCACGAGGTCAAGAGATCATCCTGGCCAACATGGTGAGACCCCGTCTCTACTTTAATCATGCAAAAATTAACTGGGCGTGCTGGTGCACACCTGTTGTCCCAGCTACTCGGACGCTGAGGCAGGAGAATCGCTGGAACCAGAGAGCCGGAGGTAGCAGTGAGCAGAGATCGCACCATTGCACTCCAGCCTGGCGACAGAATGAGACTCCCTCTAAAAAAAAAAAAAAAAAAAAAAAGGCCCCAAAGCCCCAGTTCCTCACTTCTTCCTGGAGGGGGCCCCACCTTGGCTCTGGGTGGCAGGAAAAGCTCTTCTCCCCTCTGCGGGAACGATCCCACCTCCAGTGAAATGGAATGGTCTTCCCTGAATCTGTTCTCCCGGTCATGGGCACGGAGCCAGGCCTCGGGCTTCAGCTGTAACAGGAGCCTCTCCCTACTGGTTGCTCCCCAAGGTGTCTCCTCTGCTCTCTCCTCCTCCTCATCTTCCTTGGGGTTCTGCTGTTCCACTCCCCCATAATCTAGGTCCCCCCGACTCTACATTCTGGTTGCTCTAGACGCGTGATCTGGCTTCTGCCTCTGCATGAGTGAACTACATGGCTTGGGAGGTCCTGGTTCAACCTACTATGGTGACAGTCTGGCCTGAGTTGTTTTTGACTAGACTAGACCAGAGGTTCTGCATGTCCCAGGCCTGGCCTCTGGGGTCAGACACTCATTGCCTTCTGCAGGGCAACCAGGAGCCATGGGGGTCTGGGGGTGGGGCAGTCTTCCTTAGGTCAGGGTGGGAAGGGAAGTGGGCAGGGTCCTCAACCACAGAGTAAACTGGCAACTGAGATGACAGCAGCAGCCTCGCTCAGAGGCAACTCTGGCCCCGGCTCCACCCACCCCACCCGGGCTGCAGCAGTGCCTCCTGTATGCCCAGCACTGGGCTGGGCTTATGGGGGATCCAGATGGACAGGACTCAGACCCTGTTCTTGAGGAGCTAAGGGTCTCACGTGGGAGACAGCGCGTCCTCGGACGCCTAAATACCAGGCTCTGAGGAGCTCGAGGTGCGCAGGGAAGGGAAGACTCAGTTCTGGCTGAGGAGTGGGGGATGCTCACAGAGGGTGATGTTGGACTTGCCCCACAAGGTGGGATTTTAATGTGCAATTGCTGGAATCATCCAAGGGAGAGTAGATAGAGCCAGGGAACCAAGGCCCGACTCGGCAGCAGGGCAGGAGGAGCGGACACCAACTGCCAGCCTTACTTGGTTAGTGAGAACGCCCAGAGCAGTGGGAATTCACCAAAGAGTGAGCAGGGCGTGGCTGTTGCTTGGCAGGCAGTGGGAGACCCCAGAGGGGTCCCCGTGGGAGGAAGAAGGCCCCAGAGAGGCAGGGTGGGGTGGGGTGTCAGGACGGCCTGTCGGGCTGAGCTGCACTGTTTCTCTGGGTATGGCTGGCCATCCGAGCCTCCTGAGGCCCTCAGGGCCTGTGTTCAGAACTGGGCAGGCACACAGCCCTCTCCAACCCAACGCCCCCAGCTGCAGCCTGATGGCAGGGCTGAAATTAGCCTGGAGGCTGTGGGGGCAGCTGGAGAGACAGTTATGGGAATCGCCCCTGCCTCTCCTCTCAGCGGGAGGGACAAGGGCTGCTGGAAGCAGGAAGAGCCCAGGCCTGGGTCTGGGTGGCACTGGGGCACTGCAGCAGCTGCAACCTGGGCCGCCCTCTGGCCCGGCTCAGGGCGGAGCTTGGGGGCAGGATCAGGAGGGCTCTGCCTCTCTCCCAGCCACCCCCTTGTGCAGCGCTGGATCCCGAGGGAGGGGTGGCCGGGTTTTGAGCTCCTAGTGCCTTGACCCACTTCTCCACCTCCTGCTTGACCAGGTGCTCTGGGGCTTCTCTCCCCAGGAGGCTGAAGTTTGCTTGAGCCTGGCTCCCTGAGATAAGCTGTGGGTCAGGGGACATGGAGGGAACTGGTCCCCAGCCTGGGTTCTGAGCACCCCTCCCCTGGGGCCCAAAGTCTGTGTGTGAGCTCTGTCCATTTAGCCCTCATCTGGTCTGGTCTTAGCCTCCTCCCTCCCTGACACCAAATTCTGGCCATTTCTTCCACCTGCAAATCTCCCTGGATGCATTCACCCTGCAGCAGCCTCCCCGCCTCAGGCCCGGCTCTGCCTGTCCCTCTCCCCCATGACAGCAGTGGCCTCCTAGCGGGTCTGGGTCCTTCAGTCTTCTCCTCCTGGGCGCTGCCACCATCCTCAGGACGAGCCCTGCTCCTGACCAGCACCGGCCCGACCGGCGGCTCCTCTGCCCCTTCCAACCTCAGCCTGGGTGCCCACCACCCTGGGATGGCTGGGTCTGCTGTGGTGGGGTGGGGTGCTGCACTCCACTTCTAGAGCCATGTTCTGCGGGGCCGTAGCATCTTTCTGGAATTAACAGGTGCACCTTGAATGTGGGTCCCCTGTGGAATTGGTTTGAGAAGCGCTGCACAGCCTCCCCTCCTGGATACTCACAAGGTTCTGTCGCAGGTGAAAGGTTCCCAGGTGTCCTGGAGTAAAGAAGTCTGTTTTGATTTATTTAACCTTGAGATTCCCAGAGTGTTAGAAGACATGTCTACGAACAACCCCAGGAACAAGTGTCTCTGGAGCCACCCTTTGGAAAATGCTGGGGGTGGTGGGGGGCTAAAGTGTGGTGCTCTGTCTTTGGGGATCTGGGGTCCGGAGGCCTGCTTCCCCCAGTCCTCTCCCACGGGCACACCCGCTGATACGGGGTGAGGAGGCTCTGGAACACTGGCCGCATGGCGGACACCTGGCTCCCTTCTCCTGGCCCACAGCATGGTTCCAGGATGTGTGTTGTTTAAACCACACGTTCTTTTGAAATTTGACCTGGTTGTCAACGCTTAAAACCTGGGAGATTTCACGTAGATTCTGCATTTTAAAGTTCTCTTAAAACACGAGGAGCCCCATCCACACAGCACATGTTTCTCCCTCTGTGGAGCTGCAGAATGGAGTGAGCCATTTACGTGCAGAGCGCCCAGCCTGCAAGCAGACAGCTTCCCTCCCAGCACCCGCTGAGCCTCCAGGAATGCTGGCGTTTCTCACCTCTGTCAAGGGGAGTATGGGGTTCTCTTCAACAAATTCCTCTTTATGATGGTGACATCTGCCTGGCCCACCCCCCGCGGGGGTCCTTCTTTGAGAGGCTGAGGCAGGCGGGGCTCGCTGGCTCCAGCATCTTCTTCACCTCCCAGGAAGCACCACATACACGATGCAGGCTTGGCTGTGAAATCCACTGGGTACCCCACCAGTACCCCCGGTTTTCATGAAGTGGGGTGCAGAGTGGCCTAGGGGCAGCATGGCTGTGGGAGGCAGAGGGAGGGCCTGCTGCAGCCTCCTCCCCTGTGACCACCTGGGGCTCAGCTGACCAGGAGACTCACAGCTGCTCAGGTCACCTTGGTAATCGGAGCATGCTGGGTGGGAGAACCCCTCCCTGCAGGAGCAAAAAGCTGAGAACAGAGTGGGACCGACCATGCTGGCCCCCCTGAGCCAGCCCGCTGCTGCAGAGAGCCCTCTACACAGCCCGCTCGGTGCTGATGGTGGCTGGAACCTGGGGACGTTTGGCTCAGGGCTGCTTGCTGGGGCCCAGGGTGGGGTGTGGCTGTGGAGGGTCACAGCCCTGCCCTGAGATGACCGTGGGTGAAAAGGAACCCTGACTTGCAGGCCCCATTCTCAGCGGGGGAGCAGGGGCCCAGACAAACCCCCCCGCACTGTTAGGATAACAGGGATTTCCCAGCAGGCCGAGGCTGGCATCACTTTCGGCTGTGTCCTGGGTGGAGGAGGAGGTCAGCAGTGGACTCTCCACTCAGTGGGGTGTTCACGGGCTTTGGGCTCTGGTCCGAAGTTCCCACACAGACCCCCTTCAGGAGGTCTGACGCTAGCAACCTCCTGCCTCACCGGAACCTGTCCCGCTCGTGGCCCTCCCCTTCTCTGCCCCCTACCTTGAGGACCCCTCCTGTCTTCCTCCTCCAGGAAGCACATCCAGTTCTTTTATCAGAGCTCCATCCCTGCCCTAGACGGCCCTCCCTCCTTGCCATCCAGGGACACCAGGCTTCCCTTCCCCTGGTGCAGCTGGGCCTTCTGTGGTGTCTTGAGCAAGCCTCTTATACCTGATTTATACCCTGTTGTGATATCCTGTCATCTGGCCCCACATGGAGTCCTACAGGGGACTCTGAGACCCAGGTGTGAGCACTGGCTCAGGCCCCTCTCAGTGGTCTGGAGGCCCAGCATCTCCCCACAGGCCTCCTCCCCACCTCCTCTTCTCCGGACTCCTGCCTCTCCCACAGTTCCCTTGGGGTGAGCTCCAGCCTGGCCCAGGGGCTCACACAATCCTGAGCATGGGCAGGGGCAGACTTAGGCAAGGCCTTGGAGGACACAAGGCCTCAGAGGAGTGGGACGACACCCTTGGGGGTGGGATGACAGGGAGGAGAGGCAGGGCAGTTGAGGCTCCAGGAGATGCCAGGCCCTACCCAAGGCCACCAGACAACCTCCCTTCCTCACTCTCAGTTACAGCGGAGGGCGGAGGTAGGGAAGAGAGGCCAGGGAGACAGCAGGGCTTGGTTATGGAAGACGGGGGTTCCTATCTGATATGGCTAGGCTTTGTGTCTCCACCCACATCTCATCTTGAATTATAATCCCCATTTTCCCCACGTGTCAGGGAGAGATCAGGTGGTGATAATTGGTGGATCACGGGGTGGTTCCCTCCACGCTGCTCTCGTGATGGTGAGTGAGTTCTCACGAGATCTGACGGTTTTATAAGGGGCCCTTCCCACTTTGTTGAGCACTCTTCCTGCCCCCTTGTGAAGAAGGTTCCTTGCTTCCCCTTCACCTTCTGCTGTGATCGTGAGTTTCCTGATGGGCCAGCCATGCTGAACTGTGAGTCAATTAAACCCCTTTCTTTCATAAACTATCCAGTCTTGGGCAGCTCTTTATAGCTGTATGAAAACAGACCAATACACTGTCCCTGCTAAGGGCTGGCCCAGCTGGGATCTCCCTGCATTGGCAGCTGGGTTGCCAGTAGCAGTGGTAATGAAGGCAGGTGGGAGCTCTCCCCTGCCCCACACCTGTTCCTGAGATGTCCCTGGCACCAAACCACCCTCCCAGCTGTGGGCATGGATGAGGGGAGGGACCAAGATTTCCTATTGCTCTTTTTTTTGTGTTTTGGTGTGTGTGGTGTGTGTGTGTGGTGCGTGTATGTGTGTGTGTGTGTGTGTGTGTGTGTGTGTGTGTGTGATGAAGTCTTGCTCGGTTGCCCTGGTTGGAGTGCAGTGGCAAGATCTTGGCTCACTGCAACCTTCATCTCCCAGGTTCAAGCAATTCTCCTGCATCAGCCTCCCAAGTAGCTGGGATTACAGGCTCCCGTCACCACAGCTGGCTAATTCTTGCATTTGTAGTAGAGACCGGGTTTCACCATGTTGGCCAGGCTGGTCTCAAACTCCTGACCTCAAGTGATCCACCCATCTCAGCCTCCCAAAGTCCTGGAATTACAGGTGTGAGCCACCACACCTGACCTTGAGATTTCCTATTGCTTTTGAAGTGAGAGGTCCAAGAAGGGTTGGGATCACAGAGGTCCACAAGTCCACAGAGCCAGCACTCTCTGTGGAGCCTGGGGTGACCCCTTCTGCGCCCCAGGACCTCAATTGTCTACCTGGCAAGTTTGGTATTAGACCAGATGGGGCCAGGGTTGTAGCTGAAACTCTGGACTCAAATGTCACTAACTGAGCAAGCTTCAGCAAGTTGCTGAACCTCCTGCTACCTCAGTCCCTACGTCTGTGAAATGGAGAGGACAATCCAGTGCTCCTCCTGGGGCCGCTGGGAGGATTAAATGAGTTGATCTGTCCCCATGTGTGTTTGTGTCTGTATGGTTCCATCTCTATCTAGATCAGATGATATCTACAATGTTAGTGCATTTAAATGTTAAGTATTTTCATTATGACCAGATCACAGGCCTTTTTGAGAATTCAATAAAACATACTTTTCAGAAAAAGTCTGCATCCACGAAACCAACTCAGGGCGTGATTTCAAGGGTCGTGACCTGCCTGCTGCTTGCCTGCGCTGTGTGGATACTGAGCGTCCACGCCTCTGACAGTCTGACTCTAATGTGCTTTCTTTTTTTAGTTGGAATTTTGGGGTCAAATTAATACGCTCAAATAGCTCTAAAGGTCCAAATATAAATAGTCACTTATTCCCTGCCCCCCAAACCCATACTCCTCTCTCTCTGGCACTGTACCATCCAATCTGGCTCCAGCCTTGGCTGTGAGCTGTGGTGTCTGGAGCCCGGGGCAGGACTGCTCCTGTTTCCTCCCTGTGGCCGTGAAGCTGGGCTTGGGCCCTGTGGCTCACTGGTGAGCTCCGTGGTCTTTCCTTCTAAGCAGTTCTCAGCTCTGCTCCGTGCCTCTCTCCCTCTGTCTCTTCTCAATCCAGACCTCCTACCTTTCCTGCCTTGGTGGTCTCCCTGCCTCCAGCCTTGTCCCTCCCGAGCAGCCAGAGTGAGCCTCCACCTTGTACATCCCAGTATGTCCTCTCCTGCCTACAACTCTGTGGGGGCGCCCCACGGATTGCAATGAGCATCCAGGGTGAGGGAGAGAAAGTTGTGTAAGATTCAGGATTCCCGGGATACAAGAAAAGCAGAATTCTTACCAATCAACATGATATCATCAGAGCGGGCCTGGGATTGGTCCAGGGGCCTGTGAGGTCACTGCTGGGGAGCCGGGCCTGCCAGGGCCCCGGGAATTGGGTGGTCAGGGACCAGAAGGCAGCTGGGGTAAAACCATTTCATGCAAATGCATTGAGATGAGGCTTTGTGGCAGGTTTGACAAGCTGCCAGCAATGAAGGCTCTGTGATCTTCCTGTCTCCCACCTCTCAGCAGCTGGCTAGCGGGAGAGTTCCCTGGGGGCCTGGAGGAGGGGCTGTGGGGAATGGAATCTCTTGGTTCCTGGACCTTAGGGAATTAGGAGAAAAAACACACCTCTGAGCTCCGCCCTTGCCCTCCTTATGCCCTCAGTGGGTGCCCATTGCCTGCAAGACAAGATGCAAGCTCCCCTTGGGCATGCCCATTACTGAGGTTCCAGCTCATAGTTGAGCAATAATTATTTTCTTTTTCTTTTTAAATGAACCTCACATGCACACGATTGGGTCAATCACACCCCTAGTTATGAAGCACTCTTACTATTGACTTATGCAGGGCTACTGTAATTAATTAATTTGTTTGCAATAACACAGCAAGCACCTTGTAACTCAGAGCTCAACTCAAGATCTAGAACCTTAACAATATTCGTACCTGCTTTGTGCCCCTCCCTTGTCGTTTTCCCTGCCACCTCCTCAGAGGTCAGCACTGTGCTAATTTTGGATGTATCACTCCCTTATCATTTTTTTGTAAAGAGATGGAGTCTCTCCCTGTTGCCCAGGCTGGAGTGCAGAGGTGAGATCCTAGCTCACAGCAGCCTCAAATTCCTGGCCTCAAGTAATCCTCCTGCACCAGCCTCCCAAAGTGCCTGGATTACAGGTGTGAACCACTACATCTAGGCCCTCTTACCTTTTAAAACATAAATTTATCTCTGCTTTTCCTTTTTCTTTTTTTCTTTTTTTTTGAGACAGAGACTTGCTCTGTCACCCAGGCTGAAAAGCAATGGCAGGATCTCGGCTCTCTGCAGCCTCCACCTCCCAGGTTCAAGCGATTCTCCTGGCTCAGTTTCCCTTGTAGCTGGCATTATAGGCATCTGCCACCATGCCCAGCTAATTTTGTATTTTTAGTAGAGACAGGGTTTCACCATGTTGGTCAGGCTGGTCTCGAACTCTTGACCTCAGGTGATCCACCCGCCTCGGCCTCCCAAAGTGCTGAGGTTACAGCCATGAGCCACCACACCTGGCTGAGACAGAGTCTTGCTCTGTTTCCCAGTCTGGAGTGCACTGGCATGATCTCAGCTCACTGCAACCTCTGCCTCCTAGGCTCAAGTGATCCTCTTGTCTTAGCCTCCCCTGTAGATGGCACTACAGTTGTTCACCACCATGCCCAGCTAACTTTTTTTTTGGTAGTTTTTGTAGAGATGGGGATTCACCATGTTGGCCAGGTGGTTGCAAATTCTTGAGCTCAAGTGATCTGCTCACTTCGGCCTCCCAAAGTGCTCGGATTACAGGCATGAGCCACTGTGCCCGGCCTAAATTTGTTTCTATATCAGTCAGGATAAACTAGCTTACACCACAGGAACAACCCCCAGGCTCAGTGGCTTGCCTTGACAGAAGCTTATTCTTCTGCCAATGCAGTTTGGCAGAGGCTCTGCCCATTGCAGGCACTCGGGGACCCAGGCACGTGGATGGCACAGCCACTATCTAATGCCATCTCAACTCTAAGTTCTGGGGTTTGCTTTGGTAGGGGAGGAGAAGGAGAATAAGAAATACGTACAAGCTCTTAGACGTTTCTGCTCAAAAGTGACACTGGGCACTTGTGCTGACCTTTCTTTAGCCAAAGTTCTTCCCAAGGCTATC